GACATGATACAAAACACTGCAGAAAAACAGAAAAAGTCATAAATAATAAAGAGTAAAGAGAAGAAAAGTGCAGAGTACATTGTGCGAGAGTTGCAGTCATGTGCGTGAGTGTATGTTATGTATATGCATAAGGGCGCATGTTTGTGTATGTGCATACATCTATATGTTACATACATATTATAATTTCATCCTTTGTGCAGAAAATACTGAAAAATGACCATTCGCTGAAGGTGGTGTTTTTAAACTGCTTTGTCTGCAAACTCGATACACAACTACACAAAATAGAGAAAACTGCAAAACCCCACAGTGTAGAAGCTGGAACTAGAGAATGTTTGATGTTTTCCTTAAGAAATTCTTAAATTTTGTAACGGACAATCACTGTAGCTGATACATGGCTAATTATTCCAGCTCCCATTTACAAGAAATTCAACATTTTAAGGGGTGTATTGGGAAATCAACTTAAAAATGGTGAACACTCTCTTGCTCTTTGGACACCGATACACATTCCTTTCAGTTCCACCATGTCAAGAGGATTTTAAATATGTGTATGAATACATGAATGTATAGCTGCTGCGTTGAGGGGGTGGGGTCTCGGGGTCGGTAATAGCGGGTCGCATTCAGTAGCTGGTGGTCGTGACAAAGCACTTGACAGGCCGAAAGACACCCCCTAATTTCAGGTTGACCTTGGCTTGTTTAGCATTCCCTACCGCTGCTGGTGACAGTGACACGTGTCTGGGGTTGGGTCGGCTCTCGGAGCCGAGGTCTGGGGGGGGGTTGTGTGCAGATGGACGACCGTTAGGGATGCAGCCTTATATTCCCGAGAGAGGAGGCAGAGGTCAGGGATCAAAGCCCCAACTGACTCCCCACCCAGCTCTGTGTCTGGGGACGGAGGGAGATCCAGAATGAAGTGAAGCTCAGGCCGGCCGCATTATGCAGCTCGTGCAATTAATGCAGCGGCAGAAATCGCAGGGGTCTGTATGAGCGGTGGGCGATTGTGTGTTTGCATGGACGGTGGTGTTGTTGTGTCTCTTGTGCCAGTCCGTTGTAGCTCGCACAATGAAGCGGTGCAGCTGGCACGTGCTACACACACTTGCGCGCGCACACACACACACACACACACACACACACACACACACACACACAGCAGAGTCTAGAGAGGTCTTTTAATTAAGGGATTTGTTAATTTTCTATTCAACTTGACAGTGATGAATGGGGGAGCTGTGCCTGCCCATCTCAGCCTCGGCTGTTCGGCAGACAGAGCTGCCTGGGAGGCCTCTGGGTACGATCATCACCCTCGGAAGCCGTATTTACACATGAAGATTTTTTAACCCTTTGGAAGCCAGAGCCGCTGAAATTTCCTTGATAGAAAACCCTGCTAGACGTGGCTCGCACTCAGACAGGACTGAGAAGTAAACACAGTTGAACAATGGCCACATTTTGTGCGAACAAAGCAAGATTTGTTGCTGCTATTCGGCTACAATGAAACTAGTGATTAGGTATTGTTATCTTGGCCAGTTACCGGTTTTAGCTTATCGTGCACTTTTTTTAAAAGTGCCTTTAAATGCCTGAAATGTAAATGATCAGTTTTATTTCTTCTTGTTGCAGATCTACTGTAGATAAAAGTGTTCAAACAATAAAATTCTCAATATATATTCTCAAATACCGACACTTATTTTGCCTACTTCTCATTTGCAACTGCACATTTAATTGGGAGAAATGTACTTTTTTTTTTTAAAAAATCAGCATATAATAAGTGTCTTTCTTGCAGCAGCTACAGCATGGTAAAGGTTTAGATAAAGAGAATCGCCTTGGCTAAATACAGAAAAAACACACATCAACTGCACAAGGCCTGGTCTTACATGATGACGCAGCTATTTGCGAGAAACTCCATCAACTTGACCGGCCTGGTTCAGTTTCTCCACCTTGAAATCTGACTTTGAAGTGAAACGCAATCTCATTTTCAACTTTGGACATCAGAATATAAGAGTAAGTATGTGGTAAAAATGAAGGTTAGACAACCGCGGCTCATACAGAACGACGCCACAAGAGTTACAGCGAGAACAATGACAGCCGAGCACATTACTCTTGTTCTCAAAGCTATACTTTACACCCACTTCCAATTACTTTCACTCCGTAGCTTAGGGCCAAAAACATTTCTGATATGTTGGAAGAATATAAATCTGGCAGGTTTCTTACATCTTTAGGGAGCAGACGGTTAATAGTATCAGAGTGAAAGTGCAGCAAGCTTCTACGCTGCTGCATGCAGACTGAGACAACTCCTCCATGAACCTAAACATGCCCCAACTTTGGCCTCTTTTAAATCTAAATTAAAAACTGTCCTGCTTCTCTGCATCTTTGACTGATTAATTCTCTCTACTGCACTTTAGTTTCCTTTATTAAATTTGGGGTGATTTATTACTGCACCATAACTACACTAAAACTGAACTAAGTACAGATTATTGTTGTCTGTTTTAAACATATTCTCTTCTTTTTTCCCCCACAGTTTTTACTGCACTTTTGTCGTATATTTTTTGGAGTTGCTCTCTGTAATGTAAATGCGCAATAAAAATAAAAAAACACTACTTTCATGCCAGAGATCCTGCTGCTGCCGCCCCATTTTCAAGTGACGGGACTCTGAATTAAACTCTTCAAATGTAAAAATGCATTTCATATTCATTATCAATACTTTCTTTGTTGCTGCCAAACATGTTTTGCACTAAGAATAATAAAGGCTTCCCTCAAGCAGCAGAGCCACATGTCATATTGGCCCCCATGCAATTTATCTATTGTGATATGGCAGCCATTCATCTTTTAAATGCTCTCTCATGATTTGCTTTGTGCATGCAGAGCTGGAGGTGACCTTGAAAATGGACCATGTGGTGTATTCTGATGATAATTTATTCTCACATGCAGGAGAAACTGTCTTGCTAACATGATTTTCTTCATGCTTTGTGCCACCTAGACTCGCTGGAAACTTTTATAGCGCCGCCAAACGCGTGCTCTCTTCAAAGAATTATAGGGCCATGCAAATTTTGGACACACTCGCGCATTTTCTTGTAGATTATAGCATGATTTAAAGTCAAACTCATCCTCATGTGACACCAAATAGAGGTCTTATTTCAGAATGCACTGCCAAGGAGCACAAATCTGGAAACAGACACGTTTATAAGTCGTAATAAACTGGTGTACAAACACAACACTGAACCCAGAAGCAGAAATAAAACTGTGATTTAAGTTTTTAATATACATTTCCCTGCAACTCCGAATAACAGAATCATCCAGAGACTAATTCCAAGCCTGTAGTAGACTGATATTGATTTATTTCATCAGTGAAAGCCCCTCACAATGGTGGCAAATTGATCTAAGCTCCAATTTGAAAGTATAAGACGTGCAAATGACTTTTGTCTCAGCTTCGACTGTCCTTAATATTTCACTTGAGGGTGTGACAAAAATAGTAACATAGTCATTGTCCCGGCAGTCAGGTCAGTTATCAAGCTCCCTTTTTTTTTTTTTTTTTTTGGGAGCCTGTCTTATACTGGGCTTTGACTGACACACACACACACACACACAGATGCGGCACACTCCGTTTTAATGCATATTAATGAAGTTAAACGGCCCGCTGTAGAGAGGAGACAATGGAGTAGAGCAGGGCTGGTTGTGAGCACAAAGCCGTGGACTCGGGGGAAGCAGAACAGGTGCAGCTTCACGTGGAACGACTGGTTCATCGGTGCGGGAAGCGATCTGTTAAAAGCAGTCGAACGCACGATGCAGAAATGTTCCGTTTCCATTTATTTGCATTCAAAGGTTGTTGTTTTTGTGCTTTTGCTGCACTGCCAGCCAAACATCAAGTCTTTTCCTTTGAATTTTCTGTCAATAAAGGCTACATTTTTGTCATTCTATGTTTTATTTTCAATCTAAAGTTGTGTTAACCGCTGGAAAATACAAACCTTGAGGACTTTTAAGATAAGAAAACATTTATCTCAGAGGACAGGCTCACTAATCTATTGTCTGGGCCAGTGACTGTCAACCTCTATTGACTTGTGACCCTCTAAAACAAAGCTAAGTCTGCCTGTGACAGGTCGAACATCTCTACTAACTGTGAGGTCTTCAACCAATATGCTGCTCTTCCTTTTCAGATTCTTCTTCTTTTTTTTTTTTTTACATTAAAAGGTCTGGAAAGAAGTGAAACAAGTGACACATATTGTTAATTTAGTAGTTCTTCACAAGAATGAGTGCATATATATATTTATTTATCTATAAAATGAGCAGAAATGGTAAAAATGAGCTAGTTTCCATTATGCATGTGGCTCCACTATGATCCGTAAACAGCACTGGCTTCTTTATTGTCTGCTATCATGACAAGTGGAAGAGGCTGCACATGGAAAATATGAACTTGTGCCACTATTGTAAAGGAGAATTTCCCACTAAAAGATCAATTGATGTTTTCTGTCACTATGGAGGAGTTCAGTCTGAGAAAATAGCCCAGATGATGATTATAATCAGGATTATCTGAGCTTAGCAGAGACCAAGATCTGGTCCAGAACCATGCAGAGCTACTGTTGCAAGAATCCCTTCTACTGGGAGTGAAAGTGTTAATTATAAACAGCCAGAGTGTTTATTGGCTTGTTTTCTATTAAATGCTATTCAAAGAAATACCAAAAACAATGAGAAAAACATCCTAAAAATAGTAAAATATGAGGGAAACTGTAACCAACCAACAGGGCAGACGGTTTTCTTGTAACACAAAGAGATACGCTTTCAGTGCTAATAGTTCTAATGGGAGGGGAAATTATTTTTCCCAGCTCAGTGACTCCCAGCTCTGCTCTGTAGACCCTCCTATGGGGCCGGAGAGAAAATCAACTTGAACCAAACCACGCCCCCGTGTTTTATTCTGGGGAACTTATCAGCGCCTACATGCTGAAGGCTCTGCAAACTAGACCCCGCAAGAGCAGAGAGAAGAAACCCCTCCACAGGCTACCCATGCTGGCAGACACACAAGCTGAAACGCCTACTCGCTTCTGTGGACATTAAAACTCTGCAGGATGGATTTTTTAGAGCGCGGCTACCTGGACGCGCGGTCTCCTTATGATTACACCTTTAATTTTTGGAACGACTACCTCGGTCTGTCGACACTTGTCGCCAAAAATAAGACCAACAACCCGTCCTGCAGCCCCAACTCCATCACCGAGTCCCTGAAAGCGACCCTGGGGCTGGAGGACGACTCCCCGGTTTGCTCTTGCGTAATTGGGCACGGCAGGGACAGCGACGGACACTTGGAGTGCTGCTGCGCGGCTCCGGGCTCGCCTCCGCTCTCCATATACGACCTGAAGGAGCGCATCTTGCTTCTGAGGCCGTACGAGCACCTTGCTGCCGATTCGCAGCTGGGAGACAGAGATTCCCCCTCCTACAGGGGAAGCTTCGCCGGCCTCGACCTGCTCTCCATGGAGCGAAGACGCAAACAGACTCAGAGGTGCAAGCCGGAGCCCAAAGTGTGCGTCTTCTGTCGGAATAACGGCGCGCCGGAGGAAGTTTACGGCACCCACATCCTGAAGACGACGGACGGCAGAGTCCTGTGCCCCATCCTGCGGGCATACACCTGCCCCCTCTGCAGTGCCAACGGCGACAATGCGCACACCATCAAGTACTGCCCGCTTTCTAAAGACCAGCCGAGCCAGAGAGTGCCAAAGGGCGGCAGAGCGATTGGAAAACGGCTGAAAATCTTCTAAAGGAGGGACATCAATGAAGTTTGAGTTGCACTGTCTGAAATTACTAGTGTGTATGGCAGTAATGTTGCCCCATTTCATGCACAAGACAAGTCTGGAAAGAAGATTGGTTTCTCTTTTGTTTTTTTTTTGTATGTGTCACTGCTTCATTTCTAATGTTTTCTGTCTATATTGTAACTCTATGGGCACATAGTTTACACTTGGACGCATTGCGCGCAATATTCCTCCCCAGCACTCTAAGGACTTGGTGATCAAAAATGAACCAAAGTACTGTATACAGATCGACCTGTGAATGACCACCTTCATGCTGTAATCAGAAGTGTTTTCTAGAAAAACACAAACAGCCCCAGTGCATGTCAGCGGGCTGCTCTGGCTTCATGACATGCCAACATAAATTAAATATGCAGCACTCCTGATATGAGCTGAATGTTTTAGTCCCACAGTCCATTGGCCCAGTGGATGTAAGACAGGCCATGCAAGATGCAAGATCTTTATATCCAGCACATTTTGTTTCCTGAGATAAACGTTTTCTACCAAAGGAATACACTTTTTGTATTGAAACTTAGCCTAAAGGTAAATTTCTGTATTGTTTCTATGTTGGATGTCTTATATTCTTCATGTGATTTTATGTGCATAGCATTTTACAGACTTCGACTGAATGTACAACAGTGGAAGGTAGACCTGACATGCAGTTCTCCTACTTGCTCTTCAAGTTGCTCTGAGCTCTTTTGTTCTTTTTGTTTTTCTGTCACAAATTCAAAAACATGGATGGATTGATTTGTTTTTCTTCGTGTGGAAATGTGCACCTGCAATTCTTGTACATGTACAAATAATTTTAGCAATGAAAAGCCTGACATTCCAAAGTCTTTATCTGTCAATAGAAAATGTTTTATGTACTTATTTTTACCTTATGTACCACTGGGAAATATATTCACTGTAAATGACCTCTGAATAAACATGAAATTTGCATTTTTCTTTGACTATATGAGGCTACAGCTGACTTTTAATAGTGCGATCCAGGAGTTAATCCCTTGATAATGGCAGCTGAAGGGAGAGCCTGCAGCAGCGTAGATGATAACACGACCTAATGTCATTTTGAGATGTGAATATTTTGTCAAACATAAGAGAAAAAAACAGTTTCCTCTGAAAGCATCTACAGTAGTGACACTGTCAGGAAGAGCACATGTGCCCCCTAGTGCCCAAAGCATTGAATGACAGTTTGCCTGAGTAAAATCTACTTTAAAATCTTCTCTGAACAGTAAGCACCTGATTGTTGAACATCGTATAAATGAATCCCAGGCAGGCACACAATAACTTTAATAATTAATGATAATTATGAATTTTAAAGAAGATCAAGAAAGCTTTCTTTAAAATGTGGATAACTTTTCCCTGGACTGACAGCAGGTGAACAGCTTACCCACACTGTAAAAATGAACATTTTTCAACAGTTTTATGTGTATTTTTAAAACAATTTACAGTTACTTTAAAGATAATTCCTGTCTTGTTAAATCACAGACAAAAATTAGTACAATCTCAGAGGAAACGGTATTGTCCACATGTTAACTGTAAAAAAACAAAACAGTCAACCACTGTAAAAATCTAGTTTGACCACAAAATTACACTATTTTTACTGTATTTAAACCAGCAAATATACACATATTTTTTATTTTTTTTTTTTTTTACAGATATTTGCTTTGTTGCTATTGTTTGAAAGAAAAAAATATGTATATACACATTATTCAGCTGTTATTTTACAGATGTTTCCTGTTTTGTTCAAGTTAATATCTAGAAAATCACAGGACAAAAGGTACTATTTTACATGTTGACTGTAAAAACAAACAAACTGTACATAATGTAATCAAAACTGACTATATAACTACATAGTTTTACTCTCTTAAAAATATAAGTATTTCACATGTATAGTTTTTGAATGTTACAATATTCCACCATTTTTTT